GCATTAAGGCCCACAACTTATGCCTTTCTCAATCCCTAACTCAAATAGTCAACTTTCCAACCTGCTTTCCAGATAACCCGAATCACTTACCTTCTCTACTTGACTTATGTCTTGTTTCTGATCCTAGTCAGTGCTCAGTTTCTCCACACTTACCCTTAGGTGCCTCCGATCATGGTTTGGTCTCTCTAAAACTATTATCTCATTCTTCTTTATCATCAGAATCTCCTTATCATCGTACATCGTACAACTACCTTAAAGCTGACTGGGACTCTTTCCGTGATTTTCTTCGTGATGGCCCCTGGGTAGTAATCTTTTGTCTCCCTGTTGACAAATGTGCTTCTTACATAACTTCGTGGATTCAGGCTGGCATGGAATCCTTTATTCTCTCTCCACGATTCCAGGTCAAGCCTCACTCTTCTCCATGGTTTTCCTAACATTATGCTGCTGCAAATGCTAATCGAAACCATTACTTCCATATCTATCAGCAAAACAATTCTCCAGAAAACAGACGTCTGTTTATTACTGCTAGGAACCATTGTAAAAAGGTTTTGACTAATGCCAAAACCCGCTATTCTCAGATCATGAAATCTCATATTTTATCACAAAAATTAGGCTCTCGTGACTTCTGGAGAATCTTTAATAGTATCAATCATAAGGGCAAGTCTGTTTTCCACCTCTTTTGTATGGTTCAGACTTTGTCACCTCACCTAAAGACAAAGTTTTTGCCAAGAACTTTTCATCAATATCATCTCTTGATGTCACTAGTTGCGTTCTACCTGATATAGCCGTCAAACAAGTTGATCCATTGCTCGACATTCTTACTCCAGCTTCTGTATCTAAAGTGATTTCCCGCTTAGACTTTTCTATAGCTTGCGGCCCGGACAACATACCTGTTATAGTCTTGCAGAAGTGTTCTCCGTAGCTGTCGTCTATCCTTTTAAAACTATTTAACAAGTGCTTATCAGAGCCTTGTTTTCCAGCCTACTGAAAAGCAGCTTCTGTTATCCCTATTTTTAAAAATTCTGGAGAGCGATCCGATTCCTCTAACTACCGTCCCATTAGTCTTCTTCCTATCATAAGCAAGGTTTTTTAATCTTTAATTAACAAACACTTAATCTCGAATCTCGAATCTCATAACCTACTTTCTAATTATTAATATGGATTTCGATCTTCTCTTTCTACGACTGATTTGCTATCGGTAATAACTGATAGGTTTTATCTCGCATTAGATAAAGGTCGAGAGGTTAAGGCCATTGCTCTTGACATTTCTAAAGCGTTTGACAAAGTTTGGCATGCTGGTCTTCTCTATAAGCTTTCTTCTTACGGTGTATCTGGAAACATCTTTAAGATTATTGAATCCTTTCTTTCCAATCGTAGTATAAAAGTTGTCCTTGATGGACAGCACTCTTCTTCTTATTCTGTAACCTCAGGGGTTCCTCAAGGTTCAATCCTTGGCCCTATACTCTTTTTAATTTACATTAACGATCTTCCAGACATTCTCACATCTAAGGTGGCATTGTTCGCTGATGATACTACCATTTATACTTGTCACGATAAGAAGCCAACTCCCTCTGATTGCTTGCAGGGGGCATCTGAGCTTGAAAAAGATCTCACTTCTGCTACAGCGTGGGGCTCACAGTGGCTGGTGAACTTTAATTTAGATATAACTTAATTTTTTTCAGACAATCATTATCGCAATAGTTTAGACCTTCCTATATTTATGAACGGTAATGTACTCGATGAGTTATCTACCCTTCATCTTCTAGGATTAACTCTTACATCTGATCTTTCTTGGAAACCTTATATCAAATCCATTGCAAAATTAGCATCTGCTAAAGTTGCTTCTCTTTATCGAGCTCGTCACTTTCTTACTCTGGATTATATTCTCTATCTCTATAAATCTCAAATCTGGCCTTGTATGGAATGCTGTTGCCATATCTGGGGCGGATCTTCTAATGATGCCCTTTCTCTTTTAGACAAGGTGCAAAAATGCATTGTAAACATAGTTGGACCTGCTCTTGCAGCCAACCTTTAACCTCTGTCACATCGTTGTAATGTTGCTACTCTTTCTCTTTTCTACAAATACTATAATGGGCACTGCTCGAAAGAGCTAGCGTCTCTTGTGCCTTCTACTAAAATTCATTCTTGTGTTACTCGTCATTCAATTAAGTCTCATCCATTTTCTGTTACTGTTCCTAAGTGTTCTAAAAATTCTTATTCGTCTAGTTTTTTTCCTCGAACATCAGTTCTTTGGAATTCGCTTCCTTCATCTTGCTTTCCTGATTCATAAAATTTGCAATCTTTTAAGTCGTCTGTCAATCGTTATTTTGCTCTACAATCTTCATCTTTTCTCTTCCAGCAACTTCCAACACTAATTAGTGGTTACTTGCAGACTTGTTGGAAGCGAAGATAATTAAAAAAAAAAAAAGGTCGAAAGTGTGTTTTTATAACCCGTTAGGTCTAGAACAGAAAGGAAATTGCTGTTATTTCAGAAAAATTTAGTTTCCGTGACCGGGATAATGAAATTTGGAAAATTGCATGTTTTCGAGAAAATTCTCAATTAGTTTTCAATGCCAAGCTTCCTGCTAGAATACTCTTGAACTGCTAGAGTTGTGCAGATGTTTCTACAATTCTCCTAAACAGTCTAAAATGTTCACAAAACTTTTAGAACTTTGGAGAAACTCTCAGAACTTTCATGAATGTTCCAAAAGTAGCTGTACATAAATACACAGGTGTCTTGAACCAAGATTCCAATTTGTGTTACTGTCTTTTTGCGTTTGCCCACATGCCTGCAAAAACATTGGTGAGCGCATAAAAAAGTGTTTGCCAAAAAATAAAAGCATTTTATTTTTAATTGCAACAAAAAATTTTTTGTTTATTTGTTCAACTATTATTAAAAATATTTTTTTACTAGTT